AATTGATTTATACTTGGCAAAATAAGCCCTAAATCCTTTTTTGACTTGTGGCTGGCAATGGGAAGAAAGTGACATTGAAAATGGCTGCACTTTCTTCTGTAATTTGGGTGATTCCGAAGAAGCATTTATTAAAAATGGGTGTTAAATGCCCATGGGTCATTTTTCTTTGTGCAAAATATGTCACCCTACAACTTCTTTTTAATGTTTCATTATTAACAGCTGCAGGAAAGAGACATGTAACCAAATTATAATGTGGGATCAGGATGCAAATAAATCTTAGTACAAGCTCTTTCACAAGTAAAAACGTGCTTCTGTTGCCAACTGAACCTGTGTTACCAGCGGTACTAGGCCTAAGAGGGCTTCCTTTAATTCCTTTCCTATATAGTATAGGCTGCTTATAATTGATATTGCATATGAATAACATAGATGGAAGAACTGGAGGGATGTGATATGATGCCACAAAACCTAACTGATTTTTATCTAGATTACTCATGCCAAAATATTAGTTTATTTGTTATTATTTTAGCCATATTAGTTCCTGTATTTTAGAGAGACAAGATGGGGAATATATATATTTTATTTTATTTTATTTTATTTTATTTAGAGCTCTGAAGACTAGGGATGTAATAGGATAGTTGATTAACCGATTCACTGATAAAAAGCGTATAGGTTAATGCTATAGACGACAGGCATTCCCTCCCCACACCCACCCTGCAAGTAAATTTTTTAGCAGGCAGGCAGGCAGGCAGGTAGGCAGCCCAGATCAGTCCTGGCTTGTGCCGGGTTCAGGACCTACCCCTGCTGCAGCTCTGCATTTAAAGTATATTAGGATCCGAGTGGGTAGACAGCCAGGCTCAATTCTGGCTCACGCCAGGTCCAGGACCTAACCACACTGTGGCCCTGAATTTAAAGTGCATTAGGAGCTAGGTGGACAGGCAACACAGCTCAGCTCTGGCTTGTGCTGGGTCCAGGAGCACAACACCCCCCCCATACACACTGTGTCAGAGGCAGCAGCATAGGGCAACAGTCAGCCAGTCTACAAGGGGAGCTGTTTTTTAAACTGGTTCCCCTCACAGACCAGCTCCCACCTGGCAACCCACGCTGCTGCCTCTGATACAGAGGCAGCAGCGCGGAGTGGCTGGGGCTGGGGCCGGAGCACACTGGCTGCTGGTTCTGCCCCTGGAAACTATAGAATAGTCAACTAACTGGTAAGAATTCATGAGGTTCCTTGACTATTCAATTAACCGATATTTACCATCCCTACTGAAGATGAGCTGGGTTGATTTAGTTGGGATTGGTCCTGCTTTGAGCAGGGGACTTGACTTGATGACCTCCTGAGGTCTCTTCCAGCCCTATGATTCTATGAGCTCATTCCACGAGGAGTAACGGTAGTTCGAACTAGGAAGCCTAGTTCGAACTACCTAGTTCATGCCCCGTGTAGCCGCGCTGCACGGGGTTCGAACGAGCGGGGATTTAAAAATGGCGGCGCCCAGCTTATGCAAATGAAGCCTGGGAAATTCAAATCCCAGGCTTCATTTGCAATTGCGGTATGCCTACATTACCCTGCTAGTTCGAACTAGCGGGGTAGTGTAGACATACCCATGCATCTTATGAGGTGGGTTTTACCCACAAAAGCTCATGCCCTAATAATTCTCTACGGTGCCACAGGACTCCTTGTTGTTTTTGCAGATACACACTAACACAGCCACCCCGCTGAAACCTCAGTTTTGATTTCCTGCAAATAATGAGGCATTTGACAGAATAGCATCTGACTTGTCCATCACTGGAAATGAATGTTCTTCTCTCTTTAATCTAGTATTAACCCACAGTTCAGGCAATTGTCAAGAAAATAGCCCATACTGAGGCAGGCAAATTGTTAATGAAGACACATGAGGATGG